CACCTGTTAGCGCTATATAACTAAAATATACATACACTGTACACCTACTGCACTTACTGTACCTCCCTCTACTGTAATGTAATCTGTAAAGTGCTGAGTACACCTGTTAGCGCTATATAAATAAAATATACATACACTGTATACCTACTGTACTTACTGTACCTCCCTCTACTGTAATGTAACCTGTAAAGTGCTGAGTACACCTTTTAGCGCTATATAAATACAATATACATACACTGTATACCTACTGTACTTACTGTGCCTCCCTCTACTGTAATGTAACCTGTAAAGTGCTGAGTACACCTGTTAGCGCTATATAAATAAAATATACATGCACTGTATACCTACTGCACTTACTGTACCTCCCTCTACTGTAATGTAACCTGTAAAGTGCTGAGTACACCTGTTAGCGCTATATAAATACAATATACATACACTGTATACCTGCTGCACTTACTGTACCTCCCTCTACTGTAATGTAACCTGTAAAGTGCTGAGTACACCTGTTAGCACTATATAAATAAAATATACATACACTGTATACCTACTGCACTTACTGTACCTCCCTCTACTGTAATGTAACCTGTAAAGTGGTGAGTACACCTGTTAGCGCTATATAAATAAAATATACATACACTGTATACCTCCTGCACTTACTGTACCTCCCTCTACTGTAATGTAACCTGTAAAGGGCTGGGTACACCTGTTAGCACTATATAAATATAATATACATACACTGTATACCTACTGTACTTACTGTACCTCCCTCTTCTGTAATGTAACCTGTAAAGCGCTGAGTACACCTGTAAGCGCTATATAAATATAATATACATACACTGTATACCTACTGCACTTACTGTACCTCCCTCTACTGTAATGTAACCTGTAACGTGCTGAGTACACCTGTAAGCGCTATATAAATAAAATATACATACACTGTATACCTACTGCACCACCCTCTACTGTAACGTAACCTGTAAAGTGCTGAGTACACCTGTTAGCACTATATAAATAAAATATACATACACTGTATACCTACTGCACTTACTGTACCTCCCTCTTCTGTACATGTAAAGTGCTGAGTACAGCTGTTAGAGCTATATAAATATAATATACATACACTGTATACCTACTGCACTTACTGTACCTCCCTCTACTGTAATGTAACCTATAAAATGCTGAGTACACCTGTTAGCGCTATATAAATAAAATATACATACACTGTATACCTACTGCACTTACTGTACCTCCATCTACTGTAATGTAACCTGTAAAGTGCTGAGTACACCTGTTAGCGCTATATAAATAAAATATATAGATACACTGTATACCTACTGCACTTACTGTACCTCCCTCTACTGTAATGTAACCTGTAAAGTGCTGAGTACAGCTGTTAGTGCTATATAAATAAAATATACATACACTGTATACCTACTGCACTTACTGTACCTCCCTCTACTGTAATGTAACCTGTAAAGTGCTGAGTACACCTGTTAGCGCTATCTAAATAAAATATACATGCACTTACTGTACCTCCCTCTACTTTAATGTAACCTGTGAAGTGCTGAGTACACCTGTCAGCGCTATATAATGAGTACACCTGTCAGCGCTATATAAATAAAATATACATACACTGTATACCTACTGCACTTACTGTGCCTCCCTCTACTGTAATGTAACCTGTAAAGTGCTGAGTACACCTGCTAGTGCTATATAAATAAAATATACATACACTGTATATCTACTGCACTTACTGTACCTCCCTCTACTGTAATGTAACCTGTAAAGTGCTGAGTACACCTGTTAGCGCTATATAAATAAAATAGACATGCACTTACTGTACCTCCCTCTACTTTAATGTAACCTGTAAAGTACTGAGTACACCTGTTACCGCTATATAAATATAATATACATACACTGTATACCTACTGCACTTACTGTACCTCCCTCTAATTACTCCCTCATTACTCCCAGTAATGTGTCTGAGTATGTAACTGAGCTCCACGGCAATGATACTCCCAGTAATGTGTCTGAGTGTATAACAGTGCTCCACAGTAATAATACTCCCAGTAATGTGTCTGAGTGTATTGCAGAGCTCTACGGCAATAATACTCCCAGTAATGCGTCTGAGTGTATAACAGAGCTCCACAGCAATAATACTCCCAGTAATACGTCTGAGTGTATAACAGAGCTCCACAGCAATAATACTCCCAGTGATGTGTCTGACTGTATCACAGAGCTCCACAGCAATAATACTCCCAGTAATGCGTCTGAGTGTATAACAGAGCTCCTCAGCAACAATACTCCCAGTAATGTTTCTGATTGTATAACAGAGCTCCACAGCAATAATACTCCCAGTAATGTTTCTGATTGTATAACAGAGCTCCACAGCAATAATACTCCCAGTAATGTGTCTTTAACCCCTTGATGACCGATGATGGTTCCGGACCGTCATCAGAAAAATCCCATTGGGTCCCCCGTCGGCGATCAGCACTCCTCCCGGTCCAGGGGGACTGCCTGTCTGCCCGGGCAGTCTCCCCTCGGCAGATCAGGACCCCGCGGCCACATGATCACTCAGGAGTCTGTGTAAAAAATAAAGCAATCAGTGTAAAAAAAATTATATATATATATATATATAGATCATATTTATATTTATAATGTCATACTAAGTGTATTTTTATATTTATATATACATATATTAATATAAAAATACACTTAATTTTACATTACACACGTATATATACAATATATATAGTAACTATATATATTGTATATGTTATTATAAATAATATGTTAATAAAATAAATTAAAGTAAAAATAATTTTTAATAATTAAAAAAATTATATATATATATATATATATATATATATATATATATATATGTAATGTTATTCTAACAGTATTTTAATATTACTATATATATATATATATTTATATCAAAATACACTTAGAATGTAATGATAAATATATCTATGTATAAATAAATAAAAATAATACGAAATATACATATGTCCATGTACATAATTACATAAATATTTTCATAAATATACACGTAGACGTCAAATATATGAATATGTATATATATTAAAATTCTACGTGTGTATTTATGTAATAGTTTTACCTAATTAAGTAATTTTATTGATTGCAATTTGAGGGATCTGCCTGCCAACCCAGGCCGAAAGTCCAGAGAATTTAATTTGCTAGCACTGTGTTTAACCCTGTAACTTTCTGTGACACCCTAAAACCTGTACATGGGGGTACTATTTTACTCGGGAGACTTCGCTGAACACAAATATTAGTGATTCAAAACAGGAAAACATACACAGCGATGATATTGTCAGTGAAAGTGAAGTTTTTTTGCATTTTTCACACGCAAACGGCACTTTCACTGATGATATTATTGCTGTGATACATTTTGCTGTTCTGATACACTAAGATTTGTGTTCAGTGAAGTCTCCTGAGTATAACAGTACCCCCCATGTACAGGTTTTATAGCGTTTATGAAAGTTACAGGGTCAAATATAAGGCTTGATTTTACTTTTTACTTTTTTTATTGAAATTTGTCGGATTGGTTAGGTTGCCTTTGAGAGCGTATGGTAGCCCAGGAATGAGAATTACTCCCATGATGGCATACCATTTGCAAAAGTAGACAACCCAAGGTATTGCAAATGGGGTATGTTCAGCCTTTTTTAGTAGCCACTTAGTCACAAACACTGGCCAAAGTTAGCGTTTTTTGCATTTTTAACACACAAACAAATATAAATGCTAACTTTGGCCAGTGTTTGTGACTAGGTGGCTACTAAAAAAGACTGGACATACCCCATTTTGAATACCCTGGGTTGTCTACTTTAAAAAATATTTACATGGTGTGATTTGGGGATTTATGACAGATAACGGTGTTACAATGTCACTATTGATAAATTTAAAATCTATATATATTGAAACAGCAATTTCCTACTTGTATTTACAGGCCTATAACCTGCAAAAAAAAAAAGCAATAAAGCATGTGAACACTGGGTGTTTTTAAACTCGGGACAACATTTTGAATCTATTTAGAAGTTTTTTTTCATTAGCTTTTGTAGATAAGTAAAAGATTTTTCAAGTAAAAGTCCAAAAACATGTTTGTTTTTTTTCCAATTTTTCACCATTTTTTTTTTTTTATTAAACTATATGACATGATACAAATAATGGTATGTAAAGCAAGCCCTTCTTGTCCTGAAAAAACCCAATATATAACTTGAATGGGAACCGTAAGCGAGAGAGAGGAAAATTACAGCTAAACACAAACACCACAAAAGTGTCAAAACTGCTCCGGTCCTTAACGTACAACATGGCCAAAACAGTCCGGTCCTTAAGGGGTTAAACTACAATAAATGTGTTTAGAAATCAGTCTGTGTAAATAAGATACATTGGTCTTAGTTGGATACATTGTTATTAGTTGGATACATTGTTATTAGTTGGATACATTGGTTTTAGTTGGATACATTGTTATTAGTTGGATACATTGGTTTTAGTTGGATACATTGTTATTAGTAAGCAGTACAGCCCCGCCCCTGGCCACACCCCCACCTACACCTCTATAATGAAAGTGTCCCTCTTTGTCCATGTGAAATGTTGGGGGGAGGGGTTATGTTATTATACAGGTCACATAATATCCTAGAATTGCACTAATTATATATCAATGAAACATTCATATTGCCACAAACATGAACCTCACATTTATGGCACCCCCATAACAGGCCTATCCTTCTACATTACCTCCAGGTATATAACCTCCCTTTTACTTTATCACAGACATGCCCCTCATATATAGCACAGAACAAGCACTTCAACTCAGTTTTACCCCACAGGTACACCCCATTAATATTGCCCCCCAATACTTTCAAATCATGCGAAAATAAGACTGCAGCACAGTTAGTGTCCCAGAGACTGCCTGGTTAGCACCCCAAGAAATGCCAGTACCCAGAGACCTCAAAAACTATAGGTACATTGGTTTGTCCCCACACTAAAGCATCTCTCCTGTACCCCAAATTGGAGCATTCCATTGTACCCCCAAACTGGAACAGCCCTCCTGTACCTCAGCAGTCCATGCCGGAGCTGTACCCCCAGACTGGAGCTGTACCCCAGTAATCCATGCCCGGGGGGAGGGGGAGGCTGGCACTGCCCTGTGCATACATTACATGACATCAGTCCTCCTCCCCTCCCGGCAGCCAGCAGGCAGAGAGTGAGTGCACTCCATGCTGAGCGGACTGGGGACTCCCTGCACCCCGATATCTGGACCCCTGCAGGCAGTGACTGGCTCCCTGCACCCCGATATCTGGACCCCAGCTGGCAGTGACTGGCTCCCTGCACCCCGATATCTGGACCCCATGCACCCCGTGACTGGCTCCCCGCACCCCGATATCTGGATCCCAGCTGGCAGTGACTTCCTCCCTGCACCCCGATATCTGGACCCCAGCAGGCAGTGACTGGCTCCTTGTGCCCCCAAGCCTGGACCCCAGCAGGCAGTGACTATCTCCTTGCACCCCTATTTCTGGACTCCAGCAGGAAATGACTGCCTCCTTGCACCCCTGTTCCTGGACTCCAGCAGGAAGTGTCTGGCTCCCTGCACCCCTATTCCTGGACTCCAGTAGGCAGTGACTGTCTCCTTGCACCCCTATTCCTGGACTCCAGCAGGCAGTGACTCTCCTTGCACCCCTATTCCTGGACTCCAGCAGGCAGTGACTGTCTCCTTGCACCCCTATTCCTGGACTCCAGCAGGCAGTGTCACAGCCACCCCTGTCCTGGACAGCCCAGCAGGCAGTGTCTGACTCCCGGCACCTCTATTCCTGGACTCAGCAGGCGGTGGCCCCAGCTCCTGCCTCAGCAGGCAGTGACTGTCTCCTTGCACCCCTATTCCTGGACTCCAGCAGGCAGTGACTGTCTCCTTGCACCCCGGCACCTCTATTCCTGGACCCCAGCAGGCAGTGACTGGCTCCCTGCACCTCATTCCTGGACTCCAGCAGGCAGTGTCTGGCTCCCTGCACCCTCATTCCTGGACTCCAGCAGGCAGTGTCTGGCTCCCTGCACCCTCATTCCTGGACTCCAGCAGGCAGTGTCTGGCTCCCTGCACCCTCATTCCTGGACTCCAGCAGGCAGTGACTGGCTCCCTGCACCTCTATTCCTGGACCCCAGCAGGCAGTGTCTGGCTCCCTGCACCCTCATTCCTGGACTCCAGCAGGCAGTGTCTGGCTCCCTTCACCCCTATTCCTAGACCCCAGCAGGCAGTGACTCTCTGCACCCTCTTTCTTGGACTCCAGCAGGCAGTGACTGTCTCTCTGCACCCTCTTTCTTGGACCCCAGCAGGCAGTGACTGTCTCTCTGCACCCCTATTCCTGGACTCCAGCAGGCAGTGTCTGGCTCCCTTCACCCCTATTCCTAGACCCCAGCAGGCAGTGACTGTCTCTCTGCACCCTCTTTCTTGGACCCCAGCAGGCAGTGACTGTCTCTCTGCACCCTCTTTCTTGGACTCCAGCAGGCAGTGACTGTCTCTCTGCACCCTCTTTCTTGGACCCCAAGCCTGCCCCATGCTGTGTGCAGTTCCCCATATCCTGGACGGTGAGTAGGGGGCAATGCCTTCATAATCTACCAATAATTACTTTATCTTACTTCTCCCCAACCCCTGACACCCCTTGTGTCACAGCACCCCCATCAAATGGCTTTCTCCCCTCTAATTACCCCTCATTCCCAGATACTTTTAAAAATGTTTAATTTCTAACCCCCATTGTCCCATTATCACAAATTCTTGAATCAGCCCCTCTTCTAAATGCTCCATTACCCATCTTCCCTGTCAGTCACCACATTCCCTGAACTCCATTCTTTATCATTTATTTTAAATGCCCCTTTTGTAGCCCCATCCCACAGCCACCCCATTAATACATTATTTGGGATCTATTTTTGCATGGATTGGATCTGTCTGTAGCCATTTCTGGGAGTTGGGAACTAGTTGTCCTGCAGTTTGGGGTAATAGGTTTGTGTGCAGAGATTTACAAGGGTCATGTGTGAGTTTATAGGTTTGTATATAGGAGTTTGTTTATATAGGTCCCTGTGTCTGGATTTGTGTGTATCCGTGTATATGTCTAGACTGCTGCAAATGGGTTTGTGTAAATAGATGTTTATATATGAGTGTGTGTGTGTATAGGTGTACATATATGGGTTTATATGTATATGACTTTGAGTATATTGTTTTATGTATATGCGTTTCTGTATATAAATTTGTGTGTATAAATTTATGTATATGGGTTTGTGTATATATTTGTGTATATGGATTGAATATAGCATTATGCATATGGTTTACAAATGTTGTGTATATAGGTTTGTGTATATAGATTTATGTATATGGTTGTGTAAACAGTTTTGTGTATATGGTTGGTATATAACTGTATATATAGTTCTGTGTATGTAGCTTGTGTAAATGGTTGGTATATAGTTATGTGTATATGGTTTTCATATAGCTGTGTATATGGTTGGTATATAGCACCGTGTATATAGCTCTGTGTATATGGATGGTATATATCGCTGGGTATATGGTGTGTGTGTACAGCTTTGTGTATACGGTGTGTGTGTATACGGTTGGTATATAGCTCTGTGTATACGGTTGGTACATAGCTTTGTGTATACGGTTGGCAAATAGCTTTGTGTATACGGTGTGTGTATACGGTTGGTATATAGCTCTGTGTATACGGTTGGTATATAGTTCTGTGTATACGGCTGGTACATAGCTTTGTGTATACGGTTGGCAAATAGCTTTGTGTATACGGTGTGTGTATACGGTTGGTATATAGCTCTGTGTATAAGGTTAGTATATAGCTCTGTGTGTACGGTTAGTATATAGCTTTGTGTATACGGTTGGTATATAGCTTTGTGTATACGGTTAGTATATAGCTCTGTGTATACGGTTGGTATATAGCATTGTGTATACGGTGTGTGTATACGGTTAGTATATAGCTCTGTGTATACGGTTGGTATATAGCTCTGTGTGTACGGTTTGTACATAGCTCTGTGTGTACAGTTAGTATATAGCTCTGCGTATACGGTTGGTATATAGCTTTGTGTATATGGTTGGTATATAGCTCTGTACGGTTAGTACATAGCTCTGTGTGTACGGTTAGTACATAGCTCTTTGTGTACGGTTAGTATATAGCTCTGTGTATACGGTTGGTATATAGATTTGTGTATACGGTGTGTGTGTATATGGTTAGTATATAGCTCTGTGGATACGGTTGGTATATAGCTTTGTGTATACGGTTGGTATATAGCTTTGTGTATACGGTGTGTGTATACGGTTGGTATATAGCTCTGTGTATACGGTTAGTACATAGCTCTGTGTGTATGGTTAGTACATAGCTCTGTATATACGGTTGGTATATAGCTTTGTGTATACGGTGTGTGTATACGGTTGGTATATAGCCCTGTGTATAGAGTTGGTATATAGCTTTGTGTATACAGTGTTTGTATACGGTTGGTATATAGCCCTGTGTATAGAGTTGGTATATAGCTTTGTGTATACGGTGTGTGTATACGGTTGGTATATAGATTTGTGTATACGGTGTGTGTGTATATGGTTAGTATATAGCTCTGTGGATACGGTTGGTATATAGCTTTGTGTATACGGTTGGTATATAGCTTTGTGTATACGGTGTGTGTATACGGTTGGTATATAGCTCTGTGTATACGGTTAGTACATAGCTCTGTGTGTACGGTTAGTACATAGCTCTGTATATACGGTTGGTTTATAGATTTGTGTATACGGTGTGTGTATACGGTTGGTATATAGCTCTGTGTATACGGTGTGTGTATACGGTTGGTATATAGCTCTGTGTATATGGTGTGTGTGTGTGTATACGGTTGGTATATAGCTCTGTGTATACGGTGTGTGTATACGGTTGGTATATAGCTCTGTGTATACGGTGTGTGTACGTTTAGTATATAGCTTTGTGTATACGTGTGTGTACGGTTAGTACATAGCTCTGTGTATACGGTTAGTACATAGCTCTGTGCTGTATACAGTTCTGTGCTAGTATGTGCAGATAATATTTGCAGAGCCTGGAGGCAGAGTTTTTGGCTGGCTCTGTGTGCTGTAAATGTCTGATAATATCTCCTGTAGCAATGCAAGGCAGACAGTGTAGGGTTAAACAGTCAGTCCCTCTCTGGCAGGGTTTAACCCATTGCATGCCTGATCAGGTGGTGCAGTAAGGGGTTAAGTGTTCCCAGTGGTCAGGCTGAGCTGGGGGGCCATGCAGTGAATTTAATGATTTTTTTTCAGATGGTAATTTATGCCTTTGTGTAGGGGCTCCATGATTAACCTGCACATCACGTCCCCCTGAACATCAAAAACGAAGAAATGGGAAGAGACTGGCAAAAAAACAAACAGGCCCCTCTCTCACCCCCATGTGAATCTCATTCTCTAACAGGACAGAGATAAATTCAAGTTCAGCTCAAATGCAACAAAAAAACTGCTTTACTTTTGTGTCTTGAAAAATCCCAGAAGTTGCAGAGTTTGAGGCTGGGATTTTTGTATTTTCCTATGGGAATGCACTGTGTCTACTGGAGAGAAATGGGAGAGTGGCTGTTCATAAGAACTGACAATCTAATTTAGAATTAGCGTTATCCCAAGGTCAGTGCATACAATGCTCTTTACCTACTGATCCTCTCTTTCTGTTTGCCGTCTCTTGGCCAAATCTGGTTGATACGATGAATATCTTGTCACAGACAATAATTCGGAATTGGACTCAGTGTCTGCCGTCATTCATTTAAACATTACCTGTGTGATAACCTGGGACAGACAGACACACACCTGGTGGCACTGACAGGGTTAAGGGCTTACTGGCTCTCACAGTATTTAGTAATAGTTAACCCTTTAACGGCTTTAATGACTGTATTTTATACCTTCCCTAATGGACAGTCAACGTTAATCTTGACGTTGCATGAACTGCAACTCTCAGCAATCTCAGCCAGAGAAAGGTTGTGATGGTATCTCTAGGGGCAGCATTATAAAGTGCCAGAGGACTTGTGTGCTTTGTTAGGGATTCGTAGGTCCATGGGGTTTGCTCTGTTTTACCAATCAATAGACAGACAGACCCCCCTCCAGCATGGTACAGAGCCAGGATTTATTTATTTGAGTTGTTGCTATTTTGGGGGGGAGACGGATACTTTTTGGGTTAATTTTCTGGGGTTCAATAGATAAATGAATTGCTCTGTAAGAAATGTTAATCGTCCAAGTGGCAGATCAAGTAAAATAGTGGATATCATAGAGTGCAAGCCTTGTTGCAATGAATTGAATTATTATTACCATTTTAAAAGTGGCTGGGCATTGTTTTATTGTCAGAAGAGCTTGCAATTCATTCCCGTAGTCTCCTTGTTGCAAAGACCTATGAGACTGGAGGGATATTCTAAATACAGATCAGGGCGCTCAGTTTTGGTCAGTTAACCCTGTGCAGCCTGAGCAGCAGGAGGGGGTTAATGTTTGTTGCTGAGCAAGCTTTGCACGTGCAAACAGTGATGCAGTGCCTGGGATGTGCTCAGGACTGTTATTTCAGCTCTCATCACCCCTGCTGCTCTCTGCTTTTTTGTTTTGTGCAATTGTGCATAACTAATTCAGATAATTGTGAAATTCTGGTGCAGGCATGCAGCGAGCGTCCTGTGTCCACGGTTCATTTTTAGCCCAGTCTTGCAGCAGGGAGCTGTTTGGAAACATGCATTGAATGCTCATTGTTCGGCGGTGGATACAGTAACAGGCTCGGCACTGGACCATGCTTTGATCATCTGGCCTGATGTCTGACGTGGGCTGCACAAAGGTTCACTGACACTCAGGTATGATTTTCCATTGTTTGTTGCGTGTGATTAGGTATTGACCCTGTCTGACCCCAGTTACCCCCAGGAGGGCAGAATGCCTTTAATTGAAGCTTGGTATTCCACCCTGGCTGTATGTGTCCCTGGGCAGTGGGGGGAGACAGCATCGAGGTGGTCCCATCATTTCGTCCGCACAAAGCTCTGACACAACAATGGGACAGCAAAGCCCACCTGGGACTGGCTGTGTAAATCTTGTAATCCTTTATTTATTAGGCTCTGACATATTCCGCAGCGTTGTGTAATGCAATGCAAAGCCACCTTTATCCAAGCATTGACAAGAGTTGGGGACCTTGCCCGTGAGCTTACAATCTATCGTGTCTACATGTCCTCTGAGAGAGGTAGGAGAGAGAATCAGTGGTGACCTGCATTCAGTGGTGTAACTACTCCTCTATAGGAAAGAAACAGATGTCTGTAGTGGGATATTACGATAAGGGGTCTTTTCATACTTTATTGATAGCGTTTGCGATTTAGCCTTGGGGGTCAGGATTAGGCAGAAAATAAATGATAAGAGTCTTCATAGCTGGATTACGATGTAATGGGAGACTATAGTTCTTAATCTCTTCCAAACGCAGATGTCTTTTCATGCGCTGCTCGGCAGAACAGGGGGACACATTGGTGCTGAATAGGTTAACATCTTGTGAAAGCA